AGAAAATACAATATTTTTTCCGTGCGTAATTTTTGCTTTTGTTTTTATCAAATTAACACTGCGAGTGTGTGTGTGTGTGTGTCAGGGTTGGGTTAGGCTTCCTCTGGCTGTGGCAGCCGCCGGCCAAGTGACGGATCACCCCAGGTCCGAGCTCCCCGTGTGTAAACTCTCCCAGGGTCACACTCTCCCACATTACATTATTTAATGTCCAGGCATTGTACACTGTAGAGCCTCCTGTGTGAGGTATACTTGGAGTTCTGCACATTTAATTACTTCATTCGATCATTCCCGTGTTCATGATGATATCATATGATCACACGCCCCCCCCCATACTACAAATCTCCATTCTGTGGGATGGAAATCAATAGTATCACATAACTACTATCACAAACTATTTATACATATCCCTTCAAACAGTACAAGTTGGCTGCATAAAATATAGGTGTGTAAATAAATACAAAGTAAGGTACTTCCCTAAAGCACAACAAATTTCTAACATAATTTAGCCTAATTAACCTTTAAATTATTACTAATGATTGGGCTTTAGGCTAGGTCTATCACCCTTACCTAGGTCTATCACCTAGGGTTATAGATGACGGACCCGCTTGGTATGGTCAGTAACTGGATGGGTGACCCGTCGATGGGCTGCCCCCTAGGCTGGAGGTGACCTCCAAAAGCCTAAAAGAGTTTCCGTCCCCGATAATGGTATTCCAGTACACCACACCAGCTGAGAGTGACCAACAGTGGTATACCACACCAGCTGAGAGTGACCAACAGTGGTATACCACACCAGCTGAGAGTGACCAACAGTGGTACACCACACCAGCTGAGAGTGACCAACAGTGGTACACCACAACAGCTGAGAGTGATCAACAGTGGTACACCACACCAGCTGAGAGTGACCAACAGTGGTACACCACACCAGCTGAGAGTGACCAACAGTGGTATACCACACCAGCTGAGAGTGACCAACAGTGGTATACCACACCAGCTGAGAGTGACCAACAGTGGTACACCACACCAGCTGAGAGTGACTTTAAATTAACCGTCATGATGGGAATTTGCTAGCACAATTTATCACGAGACACCAAATCAATTATTTTTGCAATGACGACCTCAGACATTATGCAGGAAGGAAGGAAGGAAGTGGTAAAGCGACATTCTTGAGCATCAAGGAAGTACCATCCAGCACCGTCGGCCAGGCTGGGAAAGCCGTGTTATCCATTAGGTTTTTTTCCGCGATCATCCCCGCTAGCGGGTAAAAAATGGACACCACATCCGTCGCGGGGAAAATACCGGGAGAGTGTTGGGGGTTTAAGAAGGGGGGGGGGGACAAGCATAATTTACAAAGGATATATCGAGAGAAGAAAAACTTATTTTGGGGGGAAAAAATTTTCAGGGATAATAATCGTTTAGCTTATTATATATATCGGGGCAATAGCTTGGTTGGTTGGTGCTCATACGAATATCACCGGGAAATGCAGAAGACCTATTGGCCCATACGAGGCCAATAGGTCTTTATATAAATATATATGACAGTGTCAGACCACGGAGGAAGAATTGAAACAGGAATTTCCTTAAGTACTTTCGTATTTAATAATACATCTTCAGAAGGGTGAAGATGAACCCTTCTGAAGATGTATTATTAAATACGAAAGTACTTAAGGAAATTCCTGTTTCAATTCTTCCTCCGTGGTCTGACACTGTCACATTTTTCATCACGTGTTAACTTTCGTGATTTATACACACACACATACATATAAATTTAGGGTAGGAATTGATAGGGTAGATAAAGACAGGATATTTAACACAAGGGGCACACGCACTAGGGGACACAGGTGGAAACTGAGTGCCCAATGAGCCACAGAGATATTAGAAAGAACTTTTTTAGTGTCAGAGTGGTTGACAAATGGAATGCATTAGGAAGTGATGTGGTGGAGGCTGATTCCATACACAGTTTCAAGTGTAGATATGATAGAGCCCAATAGGCTCAGGAACCTGTACACCTGTCGTGACGCTGAACCCCGGTTTATTCCGAACACAGCGATTACACAACACATAACACCTTGCCTCAGCAACCGTTACTACCACCGTGTACTCCTACACACACCAGACCCTTGAGGCGTACCACTAGGTTTGTACTGGAACACAATGAATGAACTTACGGAAGGTATTTAAAGGCCGTCGGGTTTTGTCATTTAATTACAAAGAATAGACTCTGACAAATAATACTATATTAATTAACATACTCTATTAGGTCAATACACTTCCAATACCCATAGACCACTTGACCTCCGCGATCACCACCCACACTCGTAACTTCCGCCTAAGTCCCTAATACGGAATGATTACTACAACGCTCCACACCCGGTTAGTCTTTCATTCAATACTCACATACTGCAGACTTAACTTGGTCACTAAGATCACAACAGGCTCTCGCATAGCTGTCTGCTACACTTCGCTGCTGCCACAAACGGGGATCCAAAAGGACTTGCTCGTTCAACTTCCACAATCAGACTGCCTCCAGTCAGCCATCTGCCTCAACCATTTCACCCCACCTCTCAAGGAAGGTATAATCCGATTAACCTTATCCCTAGAGAGGTAATCTTGTTCCTAGAAGCCTGACGAAGAATAATTCCTCTTTCCAGGAATTAATCATTTGGCTAAACAGCTTCGGTCTTAATCCATTGACCTTTCTTAGATATGTGATCCATAGTCTGTCTACTTACATGTACTTTCAATCATCATTCGTTAAGTGTTGTAGTAATGATCCTCTAGCTAATAATTCCTACTAACTTGTGGATTACAACACCAGAGCTCAACCCCTGCAAGCACAATTAGGTAAGTACACATACGCACACACACACACACGGTTGGTCAAGTGGTTAAGATACCAGGTACGCCAGTTGCATAGTGCTCGTGGCTGTCTGGGTTCGAGTCCTTCAGGGATGTGGAGTTTTCAGTTAACGCTTGGAACTACCCATCGATTCCACGTCAATTATGTTTCCCGGTAATTTGTTATATAAATCAACAACCCTGTTTCCAAACCAGTATTTACCCAGGTCTTTCATGAATCTAAACTTACCCAAATTTAGATAACATTGTTTCGTGTTCTTTTTTTGTGTTTAAACATTTAAAACATTTTTTATATCCTCTTTATTATACCTCGTCCACCATTTACGAGTGTCACCCCCTTGCTCTCTGTCTTTCTAGAGAATGTAAATAAACGTATTTTAATGTCTCTTCATAAGGAAGCTCTCTACTTCCTGGGGATGACCATTGTAATCTTTGCGTGTAAGCGTTGCTGTCAATGTACGTCCCATCCAATGAACGGAGACCAAAACGGAGTACATAATCTAAATGGGGCCTAACAAGGGCAAAGATAAATCTGAAGTTTTACAACTTTAGAAGTTTTAGTGCTAACGCATCTAGAAATAAATCCCGGAATCCTATGTGGTTTAGCAGTATATTTGCGCACTGATTTATTGGCTTAAGATTCCTGCTAATCATGACTCGGATTACGGGCTCACTATAACCCGTGCTACACGGAAATTGTTATTCCGAGCAGCTGACTCTAACACTACAACATGACTCAGAGATCTTTCCTCGCATTCAAGATTCACAATTTCATCCTTGCCCAGCTGGTTTTCTAGATGTTGGCTCTTATCTGGGTGCCAGCTGATATTGATGTTAGAATAGTGAGTGAAATTAGCATAAGTTAGCAGTAGCTAGCGAAACAAACAGAATGCATAATTTTAATAGGATTAATATTTGACCGATAAATTACCTTAGGAAACTTCAACTGCTATATACAGGGAGGGAGTAGGAAGCATTGTTCAGTAAAACATCAGGGGAGGTTGAATTATTATAATTTACTTGACAGACATCAGGGTGGGGGAGAATATAATTAAGTTGACAGACATCAGTTGGGGTGGGGGTCGGGGGGGGGGATATTATTTAATGGTGAAATATCATATCGCCTAAATAGACGAGAATTTAAATGGGAAATACCATGGTGAGGAAAGCTTCATTCGGAGTGAAAATGGAGCGCCATTCAGCTGGCAAATATCTGGGGAGAGGAACGTTATAAAGGTGTGAAGATGACCAGAGACCAGGCAGGGACCAGAGACCAGCCAGGGACCAGAGACCAGCCAGGGACCAGAGACCAGCCAGGGACCAGAGACCAGCAGGGACCAGAGACCAGGCAGGGACCAGAGACCAGGCAGGGACCAGAGACCAGGCAGGGACCAGAGACCAGGCAGGGACCAGAGACCAGGCAGGGACCAGAGACCAGCCAGGGACCAGAGACCAGGCAGGGACCAGAGACCAGGCAGGGACCAGAGACCAGCCAGGGACCAGAGACCAGGCAGGGACCAGAGACCAGGCAGGGACCAGAGACCAAGCAGGGACCAGAGACCAGGCAGGGACCAGAGACCAGGCAGGGACCAGAGACCAGCCAGGGACCAGAGACCAGCCAGGGACCAAACTGGTCGGTGTCAACCAGCTTCTGGTCTCCAAAATTGAACAGACAAACAGATAGACGTGTTTACATACAAACACACGTGAATGGGAACAACATTTATTTCTGGTTGGCAGCCTCTTTCCAACAAGTAAACAATCAAATGAGCAGTAAAGCAGGGGAAAATAGGGGAGGAATGTTGCTCCCTTTCAGAGAAAAAGGGGAGGGAAAGAAAAGGAAGGGAAAGAGAGTAAAGGGAGGAGAAGAAGGGAAAGAAAGGTAAGGGGAGAGAAGAGGAAGGAAGCTCCGTTTCCTTTTCACATTTCCGTCACTTTATCTTTTTTTATTATTTATTTTATTTATGTATATATATATACAAGAGTTCTTACATTGTTGTCAATGTCAACTTATTGCCTGGCGTGTGGTAGAGTGTGATGGGGGGGGGGACCAACCAGCATCTTGGTGGCTCCATCAGGTGAACACTGCCACCAGCACGCCGGAGTCGCGGTGGCTTGGGTGCCAGGCGACGGAATCAGTGAGGGAGAGAGAGAGAGAGAGGGCTGGCTGGCTGGCTGCTCAGTGCTGAGTTGGGCAGTGTGGCGTGTGCAGCTCATGGCAGCGCTCCGCAGGCGGCCTCACGCGTGTGTGTGTGTGTGTGTGTGTCTGTGTGTGTGTGTGTGTGTCTTGGAGCCCATCTCAAGCCCTCGTATTTCCTCGTCACCTGCTGGCAGCGGTCTCGTCTCATGAACTCTTTCCCCCTACAGTACAATGTTAAGATAATAGTCTGAGTGAAGCAGTGGGCTCACACACACACACGCACACGCACACACGCACACACACACATACACACACACACACACGTACGTACGTATGTATAAAGTGATTATGCTGGTGGGCCGCAAAATGGAACTGTGTGGGGAAGAGATACGCCATATGGAAATGAGTATTGATCTGAGAAACACAACAAGGCAGTATTGATACAGCCTAAATGCGAATTTTCCGACCAAATGGCGGGTAAATTAGTAATCAATAGACTTCCACCCATAACGGATGCCCTAAACTTCTCCTCAACCTTCAATACTCTCATCTCCGGTCACTGGCAATAGCAGTGCATCGCGCGCCAAGCTTATCAAACTAAAGGAACCCCCTCAGGAAAGTTACAAGTAGCGCCCAGCTTATCTTCGCTCACCAAAACGTTCCAAACAGATCCTAAAACTCTTCCGAGGATCCCAAACTCTTCCGGGAATCCCAAACTCTTCCGAGGATCCCGGACTCTGGAGCCATGCCGGGCATCGTGGTCTTCAGGAGGCGCTGGTCGGTGGGCTCTGACGACCTGGTGGTGCCTGGAGTCTTCCTCTTCATCCTCCACACAATATGGTGAGTTGTCCGACGGCTTCCTTCCTGCCCATGAGCGCTAGTGAGCGTGTGTGTGTGTGTGTGTGTGTGTGTGTGTGTGTGTGTGTGTGTGTGTGTGTGTGTGTGTGTGTGTGTGTGTGTGTGTGTGTGTGTGCCCTCTATAGGCCTCCGAAACTTCGCCATTGTTGTGTGAGTATGGCCTCTAGGCCTCCTCAACATTCTCCTTCTTTGGACCTCTCCTTAACAACATGTAGACCCAATTTGCAGAGTATACACAAAGCTGTGTGTGGCTGTAGGGCGCTGTAACACAGTGTTTAGGTAATGTGTCATCTCTGTATACACGATTAAAGAGAATTGTTGCGATGGTCATATCTTGTGACATAGTTCATGATTAAGGTTAGATAATGTTTACGCAATGTGATGTTTGACTGTTTGGCGATTACGAGGCCGTATCGTGGGCTGCTGGCGATTTTTCGCCTGTTTAATCATTTTTTTCGCGATTTCGTTACCGATTTCGTCAGTGATTAGGTGCGGGGCCACATGCTGCGTAATGTTGACTCAGGGTTCGAATCTCTGTAAGCAAGCGTAGTTTACTTTGGTTCATAAATCGCCAGTTAAATAAGGGAGAAATCGCTCTACATCTCATTCTCAGTCTGCCAGTCTCCAGATCCCGTAATGGAGAGCTGAATTCCGTATCTCCCCTGGATGGGTAAGACTCCATAAGCCGTGGGTGGCTCTGCTCCCCTGATCCTATTGATGGATGGAGGTGATTGCAGAGCCCCTGGATGGCTGGTAGGTCCAGATCCTGTGGACCTACCTATATATACATATATATATATATATATATATATATATATATATATATATATATATATATATATATATATATATATATATATATATATATATATATATATATATATAATATATGATATACATTGGTTGATACAAAAAGTGCTCAAAGGTTATGGATCTCTTGAAGCTCTTCCGCTTTCGGACAGAAACCGAGGACGCAGCAGGCATTTCCCCTCTGGATCGCCACGCTGAGGCGCTGAAACAAAAAACTGGCAGCCCCTTGGGTCTCTGGTGACGTCAATGAGCCTGGAGCTTAATTCCTTGAGAAATCCCAAGGCACTCTTGCCCCAGGGGCATTGCGTCTCAGACGCTACGGGAACAAAGGTGTATTGACCTTCCAGTCGCCTGTACTTGAGTGATTTTGCTGTTTCTCTGTGGTTGGCCACCTGCTTGATCAGCACTGAAGTATACATAGATGTCAGCCAGGGTAGATACACATGTGTAGTTCCACACCAACTGTTTGCCCCTTTTCCAGGGGTATATAGTGATGCCATCAGGGCGAAGTGTGAGGTCATCCGGGTTTTGGTCCCCTAGGATGCGAGGTTCTCTCTCCGCTGGGCACTGAGCTGAGACGAGGCTCCTCTTGATGACACACCTCGTTGTGTCTTGCATGCCAGCCCTTTGTGCTTCCGCAGTGCAACCGATGCAGCCCATATTGGTCTGCTTCCACCCTGTTGCAAATACACTTGTATTCAGTGTGAATTGGGGCACCAAGGCGGAGGGCCACTGCTACACGAAGGGATTCTGGATCTAGCCGCGTGCCCATTGCTGACATGGGTACTGCCAGGAGGAAGTCTCCTGCATGGGGGGCATGCACTGCTCTGAGGCGGGCTTTTTTCCTTTCCTTTTATATATATATATATATATATATATATATATATATATATATATATATATATATATATATATATATATATATATATATATATGTCATTAACTTCTACTGAGCCGTCGATATAGCACTGATACATGTCGTTGATTAGTGCCTGAGCACTCTGAGTGATGTTGCACAATGTTACCTGTTGTAATAACTGAGTGTGTACACTGTTACACTGTCGTTCTTGGGGGGGGGGGGGGGGGGGCGGGGAATTTACGATATCGACTGATATGGCCCAAGTTATCCCATGGATTAATTGGTTAATCATTAATTGGGTCGGGTGAATCTGGATTGATGGAGGAGAGGGAGGGGGGGGTGACTTCAGAGTTCGTCGTGACTCCAGAGTCCATGGATGGGAGAGTAGTGATTATAGAGTCTGTGAGGCTGACCCTAGAGACTGTAGGTGGGTTATGGGGGGGGGCAGGGGTAGACTTCACGAATGGGTGAGTGGGTAGGGGGCGTACAGACTCCAGAGTTCATGGGTGGGTGGAGCTGACTCCTGACTTCATTAGTGAGAGGGGGGGGGGAGGGGGTGTCCAGAATTCATGGGTGGCCAAGGCCATAGTAGCCTACCGAGGGAGCCCCTCAACAAGCAGTAGTTTATACCAAGACGTAGGTGATTATCTATTAAACTCTCTCTCACATTCACCAGCATTGCTGATCCCTGACTTTACCTAAGACCCGCATAGCATTTGATAACGTGAAGCGTTATCAACCTGTCCTCGACTCAAGTCCATTACATCCAGCGGTCTTCCTCACAGACGCATTCATAAATGTTTACATACTGTTCATTCAAAGCGGGAATTTTCTCAAATATAAATTAATATTATAATATATTAGCATATTGTGCATACATAGGCATAGGTTAGGTGTTTAGGTTCTGTTGGCGATTATTTGTATTTGTTGTACGTGGGTGAAGCATTTACAGCGTTGTGGTTTGAACAAAATTCGTCAATGACGCACTTGTTCCGGAAGTGTTCGAACGAAATCAGTTGTGAGTCGTGTGTAAACCGTTTTTCATTCATAAACAGCTGGGGTTTGGTGGGTGCATGGAATCACTTTTGGGTCTTTGCTTGGAGCACGGGCTGGAAGCGTTATACACCACTGAGCCAGGATTCACTAAGCATTTTCGCATCCCCCCATTTTACGAAACAAGTACATCTTTCAACAATCATGGCGGCTGTGTTTACATTTATTAAACAGTTTACGAGCTCCGAAGCGCCATGAAGTTGTTAATAACAATAATGTTGTGAAGTTTCGAAGCTTATACATTGTTTAATTTATGTAAAGAAGCCGCGATTAAGGAAAGATGAACAGGTTTCGTAGGAGGTTGTTAATATGCTTCATGAACCCTGGGCGTGGAGCTCCATCGAGGTACCCAGTCAAGGTCATCAAACGAGGGCTATAACTACCATCGCTGACTTGTTGACACTCCTCCCGGACGCTGATTGGTCAACAACCAAAAACCAGACGCGAACGCTTTCGGGTGTTCGTCTGAACCATCTCCCAGACACTAAACGAGGCGATTCAACCGCATTTGTATTCCCTGAGAAGTGGATAGACACACACACACACACACCCACTCATTCCTCACTTAAGGAGACCCGAGACGCCCCGGTTTCTGGTGCGCCCTCAGCTTGGGTGGTGTCCAGCGATACAGAAACCAGTTGTAAAGATTGATTTATGCGTGTGAGTTGTGATTTTGTGTTGTGATTGTTGTTGTTGTTTTAGATTTAGCTACTCAAAATTAAGTGTCCATGCAGCACGGGCTATGGCGAGCCCGAGTTGTGATTTTTTGACAGTGTATTGTAAGCTAAAGTTTTGGGTGAGGGTGGCGCGCGTTCTGGATTACCTGGAAAGAAGCCGGAGGACCTCACGAACGGGCGAAAGCTGGTGAGTATTGAACGATGGTCCAGTGTAGTAGTTTGTCTAGGCCCTATTGGGAGGTCCAGTGCAAATCGGCCAGACTAAAAAAGGATCTGGTACGCTGTTGGCTTCAGCTTCGTCCTGTACGAAAGAGAGAGAGAGAGAGAGAGACAGACAGAGAGAGAGAGAGAGACAGAGAGAGAGAGAGAGAGAGAGAGAGAGAGAGAGAGAGAGAGAGAGAGAGAGAGAGAGAGAGAGAGAGAGAGAGCACCACACAACCCAATCATTGTTTAGCCAAGTGTTTTGACGAGGGAATTGTTGATGACAAGACGGCGATAATGAGTGATGATGAATACGTATGATGATGATGGTGGACAAATATGATCCTGATAACGACGGTGCAGATGATAATAGTGATACGAATGCCGGTACTGATGATGATAGTGAGAATATGGTGATAGTTAAAATATAATGTTGGATAGTGAGAATATGGTGATGGTGAGAATAACGGTGATGGTGAAAATATAGTGATAGTGAGAATAACGGTGATGATGGTATTCCTCCTCCTCCTCCTCTTCCTTCACCATTAGCGAGCAGTGGTACTAGGCTGTTTGGGGGACGGGGAGGGGGGGGGGGTAGTGGGGGTGCCTCCGCTCGTTACCGACAGCTTCCGAACCCTCTCGTCGTAATCGCGAACCACCTCGTTACGCTCCGTCATTATAGAAAACAAGACTCGCTAATGGCATTGGAGACACCCACTCCCCTTGCGGCTTGCTCCCGGCTTTTATTTTAATAAGACAAGTTTTTTTTTTTTTTATTTCGGAATAGGGTGGGGTGCAGAGGGAAGGGGGGGGGGAGGATAGAGGGGTAGGGGTGGAGGGAGGGGGGAATTGGGGGAATAGAGATTGAGGGAGGGAGGGAGGGAGGGAGGGAGGGAGGGAGGGGCCAGATATAGAACCTTTATCAGTTAACATAGCTCGTGATAAGATAGTATTTCTTAAGGGGGGTAGAGAACCATGTTGTCGCAGAGATGGAACTATGGAACGATTGTTGTTCTAGTGATGGTGGGCGATTGTTTGCAGGGATGTGGGCCGATTGTTCGTTGTAAAAACGACTGTTTACGTTGCAGCGATTGCAAACGATTGTTTGTATTATAGGAATGGAGGTTTAGATCCGATTGCTGATATTGTACTGCCATAGAACCCATCAACAATTAAGAGAGAGATTCTTGTAACAACTTGCAACAATCAACAATTAGAGCTTTGTAGCTCTATAGTTGCAAACGGGTTGCAGTTTAAAAACAAAACAAAAAACGTGTTTTCTGTTTCAGTCATAGATCAAAGTTTTTTTTTTTATTATTGCAAGTGATAAATCGTTGATGTTTATGTTCAGTGAACCATATAATGAATTGTTGCCCCTTGTA